CTGAGCTGTCTCTTCAGGCCACTTTACTATTTTTAACTAGGTATATGCATGATGTCTGTGTATTGGTGTATACATGAGTTCAGGTCCCCAAGGAGGACATTGGATCCTCTGGAGCTGGAGTTACAGGTAGTTGAGAACTTCTTCACATGGGTGCTGGGAACAGAACTTGGATCCTCTGCAAGAGCAGGATGCACTTTCAACCTTAGAACCATCTCTCAGCCCACACTCAGTTTTCTTACCTATAAAGCAGAATGATACAATTTTTTCTAGAAAGTTCAAGAAAGTGGTTAAAAAAAGGTAAAATCACCATACAGTTTATTAGTTTCATCAACTAATGAATGCTTAAGATTTTTCTTAAGTCATTGGTATCCTCGTTTAATAAGTGACATCCAAGTTGGAGACTCTTATTTTCTTTGCAAAAATGTTAAGAACATTATTTTTTTAGTTAGGTATGGGGTGCATTCCTGTAATTTCAGCATGTTGAAATCTAAGTAGGAGCCCATAATTTCAAAGCTAGCCTGAGCTACATAAGAGACAATGTCAAAAATAATAAATAAAATAGAAAGGAAACATATATCTTCTTTGATCTCCCATGGCCAGTCCCACATTCTTATGTTCTGAAGCAAATCCTAGATATCACACAGTTTCTCCAGAGGTGTCCTAGGATACAGCCTTAGGAAAACTTTACTTTTAAAAGAATTAACATATCATTATTACACTAAAACATTTCCTTATTATCATCAAATACTCACTGGCAAAATTTCCAATGCTGTTACATAAGCCCAACAGTTATCTCCTAGTTTAGTTTCTAAATGAAGTTAGCCAACCATCTTCCCATTGCTGACCTCTTAAATCTTAACTAAAATATCAAAACTATAGATGCCTTTCTATCTGTGTATTTTTTTTCTTGTCACATACTTATTGGGAAGAAACCTGGGTTTTTTATTCTGTAGAATGTGCTCTAGTGTGCCACAGGTTATATTCTCACTGTATGTTTCTGTCTTCTCAATTCCCTACAGAGTAGTAGGTGTATCTAAAAGATGTTTAAACTAAGAGATGTTTAAAAGATTGTTTTGTTTTGTATTTGTCCCACAAAATTTATGAATAGTATTGGGTTGTATCAAGAACTACATAGTAGAATTAGTTTTAGGACAAAGCCCAAACTTTGGCATTTATAGTAGGCTAGGCTTGATACCTTTTCCAAACACCAGTTCAAGAGTTGCGAAAGGTGAAGAGGATGAGGAAGACTTACATGTGCTGAGAAGGGAAGCAGTGTGAGGTGACTCCACGCTCATCTTTGGAGTACAGGCATGAGCTTTAGGTTGGAATAGTACAATGCCTGAACGGGGACAAGGAGTGTGCATGAGCAGCAGTCAAGATGTCCCGAAAGGAGAGCTGGGCTTTTCTTCCAGCTTGCACTCTGTCTGTGTGAATAGCAGCCCTCACCTGGAGGGTGCTTCTTCCTGGGAAAACTGTTTTAGGACAATGACTGGAGCCCTCCAGATACTTTTTAGGCACTGGAGGAGGACATTATAAAACATTGCTGAAGGATGCCCCAGTTATGCTATCTGTAGATTTCCGTTTTGAAGGAGTAAGGGAGGTTAGGTGTCATCACTCTTTAGACAGGCATTCCCTGAGTGATTATCATGCCTACATGCAGAGGGAGGCAGGTGACTCAAAGGAGAGGGACAGGTGCAAAATGAAGGCAGTCATGTCACCTTTTCATACTGCTTATACTGCTTTTCATTCCCTTGTGGGCCCAAGTGAGTTGTTCAGTTGTTCATGGTCTTTTTTTTTTTTTTTTTTTTTGCTTTTTGAAACAGGATCTATGTAGTCATGGCTGTCCTGGAACTCATTATGCAGGCTACCCTGCCCTCAAACTCACAGGTATTTGCCTGTGTCCGCCTCCAAATTCCTCTAATATCTGTCCCACCTCTCCTTGACTACCCAAATCTATGCTTTTTTTTCTCTTACCATAAGAAACAAACAATCAAGAAACTCAAACAAAACTGGAAGCCAAATGATCAGTAAGATCAAAAACTGTCCAAACAATGTGAGAAAAAGTTCTACAAAATTTTTTTTGTGTTGGCCATCTACTCCTAGGTATGGGAACTATGGTGAAGGGTGGTTAATATGCCCTATGAGACTTCATTGAAGAAGACTAATTTTTTTCTTTGCAAATGGGTACCAAAAGCAGATAGCTTCTTGAGTATAGATGAGAATTAGTGTCCACTTCCCTTTCTCAGTGCTGGGGCCCCATCTGGCTTGAACCTGTGTGGTCTCTGTCTCTGTGTGATCGTGTGTACATCAGTCCTGTCGTGGCTGGAGGATTTTGTTCCCTTGGAGTCATCTCTCTCTCTTTTTTTTTTTTTTTTTTTTTTGTGGAGATAATTTTCTATTGTCTAATTTATAACATACTTTTATTCATTGAATACATCTCTCTGATTCTTAAAAGGTTTCCCCTTCCTCTTCAACATAGGTTCTGAAACTCGAGGTGCAGGCTTGGTGAAAAGACATTTTATTTAGGAATGAGTGCTCCAAAATGCAAGTGCAGTTTGAAGTGTCTGTTATAATGAATGCCTGGCTGACTATTTTTAGAAGGTCAACAGATGTTGGTACTTAGTTGACACTGAATGCCTATATTATTTTTTAAATTAACAGTTAAAAATAGTTTCTGACATAAAATTACATTTTTTTTCCATTTCAGTATTCTAAGTTTTAATGAAAATAAATATTCCGTTAAAAGAGCAAGTTATACTTACATGCACCGACCTTTAACATTGTCCTTAAGTCTACAAACATAGTTACTGATTGTCAGGCAGGAATAATAACAGAAGTGGCTTTATAAAGCTACAAATGAAAGACGAATGCAGTATCATTGTCCCAAGAGTTTTTACTATAGTAGCTGTGTTACGATGTGGTCACTGTGAAATGCCCTCATGTACTGCTGAATACACAAGTAAGTAATAAAGCTTATTTACACTAAGATCCACTTAAGTTTTTTTCAAAATTACTTTTTGGTCATGAATCTCAACAATGAAAATATACCAATCTTTAGCTTCTCCTTCTCCGGGAGCAAATGATGTTTTTTCCTGGTGCTGTAAGCTTTGGTCACCACTGGTAAGTGTGGTGGTTTTAATTCGGAAAGACCTGTGTGTGTCGTTTTAGGATGTTTGCTCAGCCAACAGCCAGGCGCTTTGAGTTCTTTTCTTATAATGCTGATTAGCTTTGAATGAACTGGTCATATTCTCCCACTGAATTTCTGGTCAAAAAATAGTATTTGTTATCATTTGACAACTGGCAGAGATTAATAGTCAGCTGTGGCTATTGCACTGTCTGACTCACACAGAGACTTAAACCATGACCTTGGCCTCATTATCATGCTGTTATAATCTACTGAAAGAAATAGCTACACAAATAAATCCTGAAATCAAGAAGTTAAAAAAATTCTGCTATTTGTGTCTCCAAGTGTAAATCAGAGTGCCTCTGTGTCCTTTTACTAATTCTATTGGCAGGTGTTTTAGCTATGAATAAAGAAATTAATGCAAGACATGCTTCTGAAAAATCAAAGCTTATCATGTCAGTATTCTGTCTAAAGACTTCCATGGTACAATGACTATAAAACAAATGCAAATTTTTCAGCAAGGCATATAAGCTAGGAAACAGTCTTACATCACCTATTTCTATACCATCCTTTGCTTTAATTCTGTGCTCTTCATACTACAATGAGTAATTCTCTCATATTTTGTAGCTGTTCATCTGTTTGCTGAGCATACATTTACTGAGCTGCTGTAGTGTACCAGGCACTTTAATATGGCCTGGGGAAACTGGGAAAAAGTGCATCCCTTGCTAAAGCAGTTCATGGTTCAGTTGAGGATATAGACAAGGAAATGGTTAAGTCATATCGTGACACTTGCTATTTATGATGACGACATGCACACTGATAAGAGAGCCTGGAGCAAATAGGTGGAAGAAAAAGGCTGAGGACATGGCAAAGACATATGACTGAAATGGTAAGTCAAACTGAGAGAAAAGCATCGGAAGGTTGCAGACACTGGAGGGCAAGAAGACTGTCATAGAACAAGGGCTGTGGGTAAGGACAGAGGTGATGCCAGGGTCCGAACCAAAAGTTAATAGTTTCTTTGCATTTATTTCCTCCTCTTTCTAGAATGTTTCTCCCCATTCTCATATTCAATTTAAGCAAGTAATGAAGATAAATCCTCACCTCAGGAAGCAATTAACCAAATAGTTGTTGAGCATCCACCTATAAGCCATGTATTATTCCAGGTGCTTGGGATACTCATAAAATTCCTGCTGTTCATACATATGCTTTTATTTTAGTAGATGGAAGTAAACAATGATAAACAAACTGCAGTAAAAAAATACAATGTACAGTGAATATACAATCATCAGAGGGAAGCAAAGTATACTGCAAAAGGAAAAGGAGGTTGGAGTGATGGGGGTGGAAGTCTGAAAAGTAGGATATTAAATAGAATGGAAGAATCAGCAAAAATCTCAAAATGAGTTAGCTAAGCAAACATCACAGTGATAGGGATAGTGCAAGCGAGGAATGGGAGTCCTATGCAGGTGATAAGATCTGGCTTCGAAAGGCAGTTGCAGGCCAGTTAAGGAGTTCAGTTGGCACTGAATAGTTTTTTGACCTGTGTGTTGTTGTTTTAGGATGTCTGCTCATTTTCTGCCCATGTGGTTCTAGGGATTGAATCCAGGACCTCACACATTCTGGCTGTTTTAGTGACTTTTCTGTTTCGATGATAAAATACCATGACAAAGGCAACTTTTAAAAATTTGGGCATATGGTTCCAGAGAAACAGCAGTCAATCATTGTTGGGAAGAAAATCCTAAGCTTCCCCAAACTGTACTACCAGCTGGGGACCACGAATTCAAATGCCTAAGCTTATGGCTTCTCAACACCACAAACCCACTTCTGCTGCCAATTTGTTTTAATTTGTGTCTGTGTTCCCATGATTAAAGAAACTCACCAAAAGCAACTTCCAGAAGAAAAGGTTTATTTGGTCCACCGTCAGGAGAAACCAAGGAAGGAACTCATAGCAGGAACCTGGAGGTGGGAACTCAGGCAGATATCGAGGAATACTGATTACTGGCTTGTTCTTCTCATAAAACCCAGGATTACCTGCCCAGGGTTAGTACTGCCCATAATGTGCTGGGCCCTCCTACATCAATAATGAATCAAAAAAAAAAAAAAAAAAAAAAAAAAAAAAAAAAAAAGGCACCTCCCTTTCTTGCAGTCTAATCTGATGGAAGCAATTCCTTTATTAAGATTCTCTCTTCTTGGGAGATGCTGGTTTGGGTCAAGTGAGGACAGAAACAGCTATACCTGTTAGGACAAACTGTAGATGATAATCATCTATCTGGATACAGTAGGGCACAGAGATGATTGTGGGTCTTGTGAGGTATCCAAATTTCATAGCAGAAGAGTAAGTCCTCAGTATATTTTAAGAATGGCCTTATTGGTGCTAGATAGATGTCTCAGAGGTTAGGAACACTAACTACTCTTTCAGAGCTGAGTTCAATTCCCAGCACCCACATGGTGGCTCACAACCATCTATAATGAGATCTGGTGCCCTCTTCTGGCCTGCAGGTATACATGCAGACAGACATTGTATTTATAATAAATAAATATTTTAAAAAAGAATGTGATTATTTAATAGTTTTATACCTCAGGTATATCTCTTAAAACTTATAATCTTATCATTATACAAAGTGAAAGTTCATGGACCCAGGGGTTATAAACCTACAGGAACGCAAATTCCGTAATAAAAGACACTTATTTCTTAGGTTAAGCAAGAGCACTGTATTTTGAGTCTGCCACAAATGTGTTCACCTACTGAGGGACATGACCAAGGAAAATAGAATTCCATACACGACACAGTAAGATACGACTAACATTTAAGTAAACACAAACCTTGAAAAAAAAATCCTCTAAGATCCATATTTCAGGAAAACCAAATCTCGTAAGTATACTTTATTTCGTTGTGAGCACTGCAATCTTATCTTAAATTGGGTGAATAATCTTTAAAGTAGATCACCTAGGCTGCAGCTCATTTTAAAGTTCTATATGGTATATATGAATAGTGACTTTTGCTTTGTAAAGGTACATGACTAATGACCGATGATTGTATGTACTTCTACTTCTAACACTGTCCTTTAGTAAGAAAAATTCAGTTGTAGTAGAAGGCTAAAAAAGCAAAAACCAAACAAAACACAACAGCAACAACACACCCCAACAACAGAAAATCCTGTTTTAAGTGCTGGCACTACCTCATCCAGGGAGGTAACGGGTTGTGTTTGTGTGTGTGTATGCATGGGTGTGGATGGAAACACAGACCTCAGAACGCTGTATGACTGGCAAAAAATAATGTAGGTCCCAGAAGGTGACCCTCTGCTGCAAATGAACCCACAATTCCACAATCTGAATAACTGCTTTCAAGTTCACAGTTTATGTATTTGAAGTAACCAAGCTATTTTAACCTCAGAATCTTCAGACTCAGCAGTGTGTGCATATTCTGGTTTCTGATCCCGTTGCGCTCATGTTGGCTGGAGTTTGGAGGATGGTACTTTTAAAAATGGAAACAGAAATAAGGTGGAACATTATTATTTATAGTTCTATCATATCTTTTAAAGGAAAACTTACCGTATTTTGGTGGCTGGAGTTTCCTGGGTTAAAGCCGTTAAGTATGTATGCCAGCTGTGTGGTGGCTGGCATGCAAGAAAGGAGTGTGTGTATAATAAAGTATGACACTGAATTTTAGGTGATTCAATTTTTTTCAGAAGCGCCTCCTTTTGTTTTTCTTCTTGTCTTGTTTACTTTCTTCACCATTATTTTATAATGTTTATTTCCCAATCTTTGCTAGTTGGTTGAGATACTTTGAAAACATATCTATGGCTAAATCTTACTTCTCAAAATTGATTCATTTGCTCTAGGGTTTGCTTCAAGTATTGTAAAAAGGGACTCATGTAATTCTCATGTGTTAACTTTGAAAACCACGGTAGTCTTAAATTGGACTAAGTTGATCCAGATTCTGGTTCTAGCTCTGCTACTTAACCATATTTATAAATCTGATTTTGGTCTTCAATTTCCTCTATGATGAGGTTGGATTAGAGATTTATAAAAATTCTCACTGTAAAACACTTAAATCAGTTGTGCTTTATAAGATCTCATCTAGCTTGCCCTGCTTCAAAGCAGTGAAAGCTAATTTGGATTACGAAGCTGGCTGAAAACAGGTGAGTAGTAGCAGCAATCACCAGTAGTAATAATGACATTATGAAACAAAACATAAGCACACTTTTCCATTTCTTCTTTCCAGTTACAAAGCATGGGAGAAAAACAATATTGAAATTTCGGCTTAGAAATCACAAGATTTGTCTGTTCCAGTACTCTCAAATTGAGACCAGTCAGATGGTACCTGGGGAACAAAGAGAGGGAGAGCTTACTACACATAAATATAATGCAAACCCCGAAGGCTTTACTCACCAGCCCATAATCTGGCCTAGTAGTAAGTGGTGTGAGAGCGGAAGGCGTGGCAGGGCTGTACACACGCCCACCAAACACTGGTTGAGTGCCAGAAGAGGAGGAGGGGGTGATCCGGACCACCCCAGCTGGCTCGCCCCGCCCTGGGGAGAGCCGTCTGGGCGGCTGGCCCCCTCCTCCTGCTGGGGTAGGTTTTCTTCTGGTCTCTGAGCCGGTCTCCCAGCTGCTGCCATCACGCTAACGCTCTGTTCTGGCTTCCAGAGTGAGCCGCAGGAAGGGGCACCCAGCACGCGTCCCCCGCGGCCGAGCCGGGATCACGCTCCCCTCACCTTCCAGGGCCTCCCCCTCCCAAGCCCGGGCACGCCCAGCCTCACACCTCCTACTCGAGCGCCGTCCCTGCGCAAGACTCCCCGGTGCGGCCGGGCCCACAGCCCAGCCTTCCACAACTGGCCCACCGTGGCCGTGGCGCCAGCGACCCCGGCCGCGCTCCCCGGGGCCAGTCCCGGGCTCGGCCCCGCTCCGGGTCGTCGGGAGCGGGCAGCGCAGGGACACCCACCTGCTCCGCTCCCTCGGG